TGCTATTTGCTCTTGAAATTCTTTTTTGGCCTTCCTCATTATACTTTTACACTTGACTTGCCAGAGTTTATGCTCCTTTCTATTTTCCTCATTAGCATTTGACTTCCAATTTTTAAAGGATGTCTTTTTGCCCCTAATTGCCTCTTTCACTCAGTTTAGCCGTGGTGGATTTTTTTTTTTTAATCCTCTTATTGTTTTTTTAATTTAGGGTATACATATAGTGTGAGCCTCTATTATGGTGTTTTTAAAAAGTTGCCATGCAGCTTGCAGACATTTCACTCTTGGCAGTTTATTTTAATTTCTGTTTAACTAGCCTCCTCATTTTTTGTGCAATTCCCCTTGCTGAAGTTAAATGCCAGTGTAGTGGGTTTCTTTGGCATTTTCCTCCCTTACAAGGATGTTATATTTAAATTACACTATGGTCACTATTACTGAGTGGTTCAGCTATATTCACCTCTTGGACTTGATCTTGTGCTCCACTTATGACTAAATCAGGAATTTCTTCTCCCCTCATGGATTTCACAACTAGCTGTTTCAAGAGGCAGTCATTAATGTGTCTAGAAATTTTATTTCTGCATCTCAGCCTGAGGTGACATGTTCTCAGGCAATCTGGGTATAACTGAAATTCCCCATTATTGTTGGGTATTCTGGTTTTGTACTCTCTCTGATCTCCCTGAGCATTTCACAGTCATGGTCACCATCCTGATCAGCTAGTCGGTAGTATATTCCTATTATACTTTAATGATTCAAGCACAGAGATTCTATTGTACAGTTTGATTCATTTAAGGCTCTTACTATAGTTGACTGTATGCTTTCTTTCACATATAGTGGCACTCCCCCTACAGTACGATATACTCTGTCATTCCTATAGATTTTGTACCCTGGTATTACTGTGTCCCATTGATCATCATCTTTCAACCATGTTTCTGTGATGCCTATTAAATTAATATCTTCCTTTAACACCAGCCACTCCTGATTCAAGAGACTGAAACTTATGTGCTCCATTAGTCTTCAGGTAACCAAAAAACTGACAAACTGGGTCAGAGCAATGGCCCATCTAGCCCAGTATCCTGTGTCAAACAGTGACCACCTCTGGTCACTGTTTGACACAGGATACTGGGCTAGATGGGCCATTGAGCTTCAGGCGGAGCGTACAGAACACAGGAGTTGAAGTGATCCTCCCATCTTCTCCTCCAGATTTCTGGCAGTCGGAGGTATAGGGTTGCCACAAGATTGGGGATGTATCCTTGACCATCTTGGCTAATGGCTAGGGCCCTACCAAATTCACAGCTCTCTTTGGTCAATTTCACAGCCACAGGGTCTTAAAATTAGTCAATTTCATGATTTCAGATGTTTATATCTGAAATTTCATGGTGTAGTAACCGTGGGGGCCCTGATCCAAAAGGTGATCGTGTGTGGGGGGGGGGTCCTAAAGCTCTTGTAGGGGGGTTGCAGGATTGCCATACTCACTTCTGTGCAGGAGCAGACTCCTGGAGGTGAAGGTAGGTCCAATCTCCCCAGTGCTGCTTGGAGTGCCACTGCCGGGGGCTCCTAGCTGCTAGTCAGGGCCAGTGGTGGATTAACACATGGGCCCATGGGTCTCGGACAATTTGAAAAATGGGTGCCCCAGCCATGGCAGGAGCCACAGGGTGGAAGCCCCAAGCCCTGGCTGGAGCCATGGGGGCCAGGACCAGCAGCCCTGAGCCAGGCCCACTGAGACTGGGCAGGTGCTCCAGGGGCTGGAGCTGCAGCGGGTGGCAGCCCCAGCCCAGGTCCCTGAGCCCAGGTAGGAGCCACAGGGGGGTGGAAGCCCCGAGTCCCGGCTGGAGTCCAGGCACCCGCAACCCCAGCAGGAGCCACCGGTGGGGGGGGAGGGAAGGGGGCAGCAGCCCCAAGCTCGAATGCCCAGAGTCCGAGCAGGAGCTGTAGGGGGTGGAAGCTCCAAGCCCTGGCAAGAGCCTGGGCAGCCCCCAGCCCTGGCAGGACCCGTGGGGGGGGGGGGGGCAGCAGCCCAGGCAGAAGCCATGTGGGAGAGGGAGCTGTAGCCCCAGAGCTCGGGCACCCCGAGCCCCGGCAGGAGTCGTGTGTGGGCAGGGGCGGAAGCCTCGGAACTAGGGAGCCCCAAGCTCCGGAACTAGGGAGCCCCAAGCTCCAGCAAGAGCCACGGGGGAAGCAGTGCAGAGCACAGCTCTGGGGCTGCTGCAGCACAGAAGTGGTACACCCTCACTTCTGTGCTGCCTGTGGGGGAGGGTCTGATCTCTCCCCATAACAGCTGTGCAAGGAAAAGATAAGTCCTGTCCCATCCCAGCCCGGCTGATATCGGGGAGATCAGATTTCACGGGGCAGGTCTTATTTCACGGTCCGTGACATGTTTTTCACGGCCGTGAAATTGGTAGGGCCCTACTGATAGCCATTGATGGACTTATCTTCCATTAACTTATCTAGCCCTTTTTCTTGAACTGGAGCTTTAAAAAGTTCATCTCTCAAATAGGCATGAACAGATTCACTTTACACCCCATACAGTAATTTAATTTGGCACTGGGACAGGATCCCCAACACCTTTTATGTGAATGTGTGAAACAGTGCAACGTGATACACAGATGAAAGAGCAAGCAGGCTTCTTTTCTAATGGAAAAACACTGGATTTGGAAATGAAACAACAGATGGGAAGCTGATTCTTCACAGATTTTAAAAGGTCCATGAGCTACAGCACTGCTTTTTTTAAACCATGGAATGGAACAAACTTGAATTAGGGGTGTGTAAGTGGGATGTGCATACATCACAAAGTCAATTTGTTGTTCAACCCATAAAGCACCAAGTTACTGGAGCAGGAATCAGTATGGATTGTCCTCTAGCAAGAGACTAGAACTGGGTAAATATTACCTTGATTTTTGAGGGTGGATTTCTATATCTGCTTTTGTGAATGAACTGACAACAGTGCAAAATTATGTTAGGTCACCTTATGCTATCTCAGCCCTATTATTAACAAGTTCAGTTTAAAATTCATGATACGGATTATGGAATTCAAATATATTACTAATTTGCTGTTGATTACAATGGAGAAGCCATGAAGATTTGTTAAAAGTTCAATACAGCCTCCATTAAAATCAATGAAGTATTTATAACAAATCTGCAGGTCCACTCCATTAAAACAAATATTATATTTCTAACCAATCTGAGTTTATAAACACATTCACAGCACATCACTGAATGAATCAGATTTTTCTAAATGAATTTTAGGTCAGCTATACGGATTTAAGGGAACATGTCCAGCAAATATGTTTCTTTAGTTCAGATTAATTGAAAATCAATTTGTATGGTATAATTTTAGTTAGACACTCATTTTAAGGCTATGATTTTACTAGATATTTTGAGTGATAAGCCACAAGGCTGAAACTTATGTGATTTCCTATATTACTAGAACCCCAAGAGAAAAGTAAGTTTATTCTATTTACTGAAAATATGTCTGGTATTTATTAAGGCATGTAATTAAACAGTTAGTAATATAGAGTAACTGCACTTCCTAATACTTAATGCACTTTCTAATACTTAATGGATACAGCAAAATTTCTACTGCCTGATAGGGAAGAAAAAGCTGGGTCTCCTCTTCGCAATTATGTCACAAGGAATATACTTGGTAAGTGCATACTTATTTTATGTTTAGAAATAATTCTATGGACTTTGCTACTCAAGCCAGTCAAACGTTTTTGTTCCTGTTAGTCTAAAAGCTATTGAGAGATGACATCAGCCTCATTTTGATTCTCTACAAAAAAAAAATGTATCTATTCACTGCAAGATTAATTTTGCACTATTTGCAGTACTACATATTCCATTAAATTAGGCATACAATGTTAACATATCTGCTTTCTTTCAGTAGTCATTCTGTCATCTGAATTAAATGAAACTGAGGCTCGTCTCTGATGGGAAACACTGGGACTTGGTTGCATGGAGTAGCAATGCTTACTAGCGGGGAGTGATTACTGAAGCACACCAGCCTGTGGAATGCTACACTGATCCACGTAGACCCCGTTGAAGTGATCTAAAAGTTCCCTAGCATGCATTAATTTAGCTGTTTTAGTTGATACATTTTAGAAATCACACTTTCAGTGCGCATTGCTGCTCTATATAGACAAGCCCAAAGTGTCCTTTCTCTATGACACATTGGAATAAGGTTCTTCTCAGAGATACACAAGTGTACCAGGCCCCTTCAAGGAGCTGTTTTATTAGTAGTAGTATTAAAATTCATTTATACACACTACAGTAAATTAACGCACTACTTCAGGGTAAGATACGATCCCTGACAAAAAATCAACTGGAACAAATAATAATGAATGTGGTTATAGTGGTTGAATTCAAAGGCTTTTAGCATTATTCACAATCAAAGCAGATTCTTTTCCTCAGCTATTGCTTTAAATACCATGCACTAGTTTATATTTAAATAAATGAGTAAATATTACCTCGATTTTTGAGGGTGGGTTTCTATATCTGCTTTTGTGAATCAACTGACAACAGTGCAAAATTATGTTAGGTCACCTTATGCTATCTCAGCCCCAAAAAACTATAGAACAACAAAAAATAAAACTACAGTATTTGTTTACCATTGTTCTAAGCAACTGAGAACACATCAAATTAGATGGAAGGTTTTCTAAATGTTCTTAACTAACAAGCTGAAATACTTGGAAGGATTGATTTTTCATGTGTATATTGAGAAAATACTGAAGGAGTAACCCATTGACTGATACAACAAAGTGTACAAGATTCTGAGATCCTATTTAAGAAAGTAACAATGCAGGGCTATATTAAAATGTCCTGGCACAGAGGTACTATAATATCTTATGTTACAATCCTTCACTCAGATCAGTGCAAGAAGATCTAGCACTTAAGTCAATGGCATTGCACACGAATGCATTGATTCTGCATCCAATTGCAGGATCATGACCCATGTATATAAAATATTTGCCAACCCTTTCCCCATATTTAATAATAATAAACCCACTTACTTGCTTTTCCCTTTGTACACTGTGGCATATGATCCTTCCCCTAGTTTTTCCAGTTTTTCGTAAGAGTCTGCTTTTCCAAACTTGGGGCTTGTAGGCTAAATAAAAATAAAGGATGGAACTTTCAGCATTAACACCAAAATTAACTGCTTTGATTCAACCATGAAAGACTAAACAACATTACTGAAACGGATGGGATTATGTCTGAATTTTTTTAATATTGGTTGCAAGAATCCAGCAGAGCTAATGTAAAATGTTTGATAGGCTGCTCAAATAAATGTCATTCAACACTCCAGATTGTGGTTACCTATTTCAACCATATTCTTGTATCAGTGGAGCCATCAAAAGGATTTTGTTCTTAGTCACAAGAGGCTTGTGTTCCACTTTTGGCATACAAAACTTTATATGCAGAAGTGGATCATTTCCAGCTAAACCAACCAATCTGTTTTAATAAATGTAATTCAAGATTCTAATCTGCTCTGTAAAATAGGCAAGGTAATCACATAGGTCTGCTTAGATGAAAACGTGTAAAAAATACTGTCAGTGGCACTTAGGGCACTGAGCACCTCCCAGAAGATATAAATATCTTATGGCATGGGCCCTCTAAGAGTGAATTTCACTTCTGAATTGATCCTAAAATTCTTTGGTTTGCATACACAATCAAAGCATGCCTTTTAATGGCATGTGTATGCAGTATGGCTTTTTATAATCTTTATTCTTAATGACTGCTGCCTGGGTTTCTATAACTGAATCAAGTTAACTACAGTACTTTGTTCAGTGAAAAAGCAAAGGGTCAGATTTTCAGCTAGTGCAAACAGACATAGCCCCCATTGGCTTTAGCAACAGCTGGGAATATAACCTAAGCTTTTACACAACTCTAACAAAACTGACAATAACTAGAGCTGTGAAGAGTAGAGGTTCATATTGCACCTTTAAAAATACACTCGAAAATGATTAATTTGAAAGTGCTGAAAATAAGGAAAATTATGCAGTGGGCTCTGTCTTGTAAAATTGCACCGTTTATCTTCATTTTGTTTAACAGAGCCTACGCAGCAGGAGAATACCAAACAATGTTTATCGCAATCTTCATTATTTCAGTACAATAGTCCATGAAAACAATTACGTATGTATCCTTTGTGTCTCTCTGTAGACATGCATCTCTGATACATATGTGGAAGTATATACGTATAATATATATAGTTATGGCATACATGAGGGTGTAACGTGGTATAAATATTTCTGGTCAAAGAAACCACTTTTTGTTTTTGCAGAAATTTTCAATTTCTGTTTTTGATTTTCAGTCCCGAATTCATTCTGGGTTCCTCCCTCCCCCTTCCTCTTATATTTTACCAATGCAAAAGGAGAAAAAACATTGAGAGAGAAAGTGAGATTATGTTTAAACTATTCTCCCCTCCCCCCCCTTTTCCACTGTGGGAAGAGGAGAATAGGGCGGGGAGGGAAACTAAAAACACAAAAATTAAGGACCAAAAACCTAACTGAAATGAAAATGTAATTACTGGAAGGAGAAGGATCCATCAGACAAGGTTTGTCTGCTATCAGCTTGCTTCCCAGTGAGCCATTACCAACAAGCATGGGTGTGTATTTGTTTGAGGGGAGGGAGAAAGTAATCTACAACGTAGTAGCTTTGAAAACTATCAAAAAAAAAAACCCCACCTATGAGGCTCCTCCATCACTAGATTTCCAAGTTGTTCGGATATGATGAAGCTGGTTTACAGTATTATACTTTTCTTGTATGTAGTTTGCCTATTTTCATCTTGAGATTTACTTGTGTTGTTTTGGGATTTTTTGTTTGTTTTATAATACCGCCAGTTGCCATAACGTAGAGGTCTTAAGAATCACTATTGCTTTAGGACTGTGATAGGTAATCCATTACCATAAAATCAAATAATTATTCCCTCAACCACAGACTCGCTTCCCCCTATTCCAGCTGTCAAAAACATTGGTTTAAAATCATATCTATTTGATTCACTCCCCTCTTGGAAGCCTGCTGCAGCCCCACTGAGAGTAGGCGGAGGATGAGAAGAGCTTGCATTGGGCAGGACCAGTAAGATGGCCAGAGGAAGAGCTCACTACTGACTATGCAGGAGAGGTGCCTGTGTTGACTGCCTCTGCATGATGGGCACTTCTGCCACATGCATCAGCCGCTGTTAGGCTACAGACTCCAGCTTCACAGAAGCAGGATGGGCCTTGTCTCCCTTACTGTGCAGTCACAACCCCCAGTTGGTCCAGTGCCTGGTCATGCTGAGAGAGAACAACCCCAAAGCAACAAGAAAACTACTCAGTCACCATCTGTCCAGACCCAGCAGAAAGACCTGGCAGCTCTTCTCCCCTTTGCAGACCGTGATGCCTCAGTACCCCAGGTTGACCCTCTGATCTGGCCAAAAGGGTGTCCTTTTAGTCCTCCTGAAGAGGCACAAGGCTCTGCATTGGATCTTGGCCCTCTGATCTAGCTGGACCACAGGGTGGGATAACTTGCTGATCCAGAACCCAATGTGATCCTTGCCACTTCCAAAGGTGGAACCAAAGTGTACGCAGTCCTAGCAGTGTCAGACCCTATTGGGGTGTCTAGCCGCAATACAGTGTAGGATGTTGTAGGCCAGGTGTTCAGGCACCTAAAGATGCAAATTGGTGCTTAGTGGTGTTTTCAAAAGCTGCTATCTGCATCTTTAGATACCTATAGATCTTTAAAAACTGGCCCTTTAAGTTGTTCCATTACTCCCTGTATTACCTTTCACAAGCACAAATTGCCAGAGACTGCTGCTATAATACTTTAGCATGAAACTTGCAAACTAATCTGCAAGACATTTCAGAGACCACAAAAAACTTTGAAAAGTGATATTGAGAATGCACACCGCAAGCACAATTAATCTTTGAAAAAATTCACCAATTGCTGATGCTAGCAGTTAATAATTTTGATTATTAAACATGAAAATAAAATGGACACTAATTTACATTTCACAATTTCACATGGTACCTTTCACTCATATTGGAAAATACAGTATACTAGTCAGTTTAATTTTCTGGTTCTTATTTCAATAGTCTTGTATTGTAATGTCTGGGTTGAAAAGGCTGCAGAGGTTGATCTTCTAAAGAATCAAAACAATCTCTATTAATATTAAATTTTGTAAAATTTTGTTATAAATTTGGAATCTAAATCATCTGAAATGCCATGTAAACTCTGAAATCCCAAATGTTTCTATTTAAATACTTTACTGCATACACAAAATTGGGAGGTTTTTTCCCCTCCTTTCAGTACATCCAGTTTCATATGTCTATTTCTGCAATACTTTAAAGAGCAAAATCGATACCTATAAATCTTTCTATAATACAGGAAGGGCCACTCATTCCCATCTATTTAAAATTAGCCTTTAATTGTTACAGCAAACACCACCATTTTTAAAGTTAATAGTACTGTATATAAAAAATCTAAAGACCTTAAAACAGTTTATTCAATCCACAGCTTGTAAATGTTTAAAAATGATTTTTCTTTTTTGTTCAAAACCATGTTTCTTTTGATAAATTAGCTGCCACAAAACAGAGAACATGCAGATAAGAAACTGCAAGCATTTTGGATGACGACAGAATATAAGTGATTTTGAACATATGTGTGGAGGCTGATTTCAATCCCTCACAAGCATAAATTATAGTACTACAAAAACTCATGATGTTAATATGAGGGTTGAATTTAGCCTGAAGTCCTTTTCCTGTTCACATTTAAAACTAATTTAAAAAATTATTAACAGGACCTATGACTTAGGTATGTGATAATAAAAGCAGAGGCTTTAAAAGAGATCTTTCATTATCCGGAAGATACATTTATCTAGGTGGCAACCACTCAAGCCCCTGAATATGACACTTGATTTCTCTTTGCCCAGGAGGTAGCAAGAGATCTGGTCAATGATGTGCAGATGCCTTGTGGATATAGTTTTTCTGTTCTGTCGGTGGCGAGCAGGTCCACCTGGGGAGCCCCCACTTCTGGAAGATGACACTGATGACCTCCGGATGAAGAGACCATTCAGAGCGAGAGGAAAAGGACCTGCTGAGGCAATCCACCAGTGTGTTTTTCGGGCTCTGGGGAAATGTGATGCCTCGAGGTGAAGACATGTACCACCTTGCCTGAGACCTGGGAAGGGACACCTGGCAAGCCAAACATACTGCTCTGAGTTCCCTAACATTTATATGCAGGGAACATTCTTCCTGGGACCAGAGGCCCTGAGATTGTTGAGGTGGGCTCCCTAATCCAGGTCTGACGCATCCAGAACTAAAGTTACCAACAGATGCAGGGCAGCAAAGGGTACTCTTTTCATTAAGGAACCTCGGTCTCTCCACCAAGTCAGCAAATGGAGGACCGGCAGCGGAATCGTGAGTATTGAGTCGAAGTTGTGTCTGCTCGGGGAATAGACTGACCCTAGCCACATTTGTAGGGGTCTGAGGCACAGCCTTGCATATTGCACCACATAGTTGCATGCTGCCATCTGACCCAACAGTTTGAGGCAAACCCAAGTGGGTCGTGACCTTGGAGATCAGATCTGACATAGCTCGGAATCTGGCCTCTGGTAAGTAGGCCTTGGCCTGGGTCAAGTCAAGCACTGCCCCCAAAGAACTCTATTCTCTGAACTGGGACTAAAGTTGACTTATACTCGTTTATCAACAGTCCCAGCACCTGAAAGGTGGCCTGTACTGTACTGATGCTGTGCTGGACCTGAGCCTGCCAGTGGCCTTTGATCAGCCAGACATTGAACTACAGGTAGATATGGACACCTCGACGTCTGAGGAAGGCTGCTACCACCGCCATACACTTAATGAAGAGCCATGGGCTGCCGACAGGCCAAAGGGAAGTGCTGTGCATTGGTAGTGGTGTTGACCCATTACAAACCTCACTTCTGGAGGGAGCCGCTACAACCACAATGTCAGCTAGGCTGTGTGCAGACTCCTTTAGCTCCTCGACTTCCAGACCCAAGTTTGTGGTGACCCTTTTCAGGAGTTCTTGATGGGCCCTGAAGTCATCTGGCAGAGCACGTTACTAGGGCCTACAACTGCCTCATCCAGGGATGACGAGGAAGAAGCCTGTACTGAA